CTCACTGTGTGCTCTCACTGTGTGCACTCACTGTGTGCTCTCACTGTGTGCACTCACTGTGTGCTCTCACTGTGTGCTCTCACTGTGTACTCCCTGCAGTGATGGCTACTGCGCCATTCCCTTCGGCCAGCCTGTCCTGATGAGATTATTGACCATCTGGAGATCTGCTTTTTTTACATGTAGCCTTCCTGATGTCATCCAGTCTGTGAGCTGACATTGGTCTGCTTGTCACCACAACTTCCACAAACACCTTAACATCCTCCTCTGTGTTGGACGTTGTCTCTCCCCTCAGTGAGTTTTTGCTAAGTGTGTCGGCACATGTACCTGGCATGTGCACGGCTTTTACATTGAAACGCATGAGGCACATCAACAAATGCTGGCACCTGATTGGTGCTTTGTCCAGGTCATATGTGTTGATCAGTGGAAGCAACAGCTTGTGGTCTGTGCGTAAGCAGAAACTGCCTATGCCATATAAATAACGAGAAAATCACTCACATGCCCAGCCTGCTGTCAGGCACTCTTTCCCATTTGAGCAGATCTTTTCTCTGCATCGGTTAATGTACGTGAATAAAAGGTGACTGGCTTAAGCTCACCTTCATGTGCTTGTAGCTGTGTGGCTCCGAGATCATAGCTGCTTGCTTCAGCACTGACAGCTATTGGTTTGCGGCCATCAGAGTATGCTAGTAAGGGCGCTGATGATAACATAGCTTTGACCCTAGTAAACGACTGCTCTCGCCAGTCACCCCAGATCCAAGCAGTGTCCTCCTTTAACAGCTCTGTGATCGGGTGCAGTGTGGTTGACAGGTCAGGTATGAATTTACACAGGTAGTTATCGAGTCCCAGCACTTACCGCAGCTCACTCATGTTCGCGGGACTTAGCACCTCAGAGATGGCTTTCACTTTGCTGATGTCAGGCTTCATCCCGTCCACTCCAATGATGCACCAGAAGTAATGAATCTCTGATTTTCCTAGGTGACACTTGTCCGTGTTAGCTTTAGGCCTGAGTCTTTAATGGCCTGCAGCATTGCACTGAGGCTGCAGTTATGTTCCTCCTCATTCCATCCGTAAAGTAGCACATTGTCCATCAGTGACTGTGCCCTCATGGTTCTTTAAAAGTGTGCTCATCTCCTGCTGGAAGATCTCAGGAGCTGACATTATTCCCAACAGAAGATAGCGGAAACAGAACCTTCCTACTGGTGTGATGATTGTGGTCTGTTTTCTACAGCTGGCTCACAGTGTAATCTGCCAGAATCTACTGGAGGCATCCAAAGTGGAAAAGATCCTCGCCCCGTTTGGACAAGGTTTCTCACATAGAAGATGGTTTGGTTTCTGATCATTATTGCGTCTTCTTTGAGATGCCAGTGTACAACATGAGCTGGAATGATAAGAGGAAGGTTATTAAACGCTATCTTAAGGCTCTCTCTTCCTCCTCTTGAACTCCCCCTCCCATCTAATGCATTTATAGAGGTTTAACTCCAGAGTTACAGAATGTATACTGTACATTTTATTGCCCCACTGAAAACAGACTGTATCAGAGAGAGATCCCCATGGAGGAACACAAATCCAATTTTAAAATTCACAAGAGACTGCAGGCACACAGAAAGAAAACGGAAGCACACAAAGCCTACTGATACTATTTAGGATAGATAAAAATGTAGGTTAGATTTCATTCCATCTAATACTCAGAATCCAACTTAGAATTAGATAGAAATTCAATTTCTTGATAAAATAATTGATAAAGTTATGTCTATTCAGTTGATTGATTCTAACACTAATGATCTCCATGAAATATTTCACTCTGGCTTTTGGCGAGTCACAGCACTGAAATGACTCCTCTAAAGTGCTAAATGATATATGGTTAACTGAAGACTCAAGTAACCTCTCCATTCTTGTTCTTATGGATGTCACTGGTGCCTTTGACATGGTACACCATGAAATTCTGCCAAACCAGCTGCATACCTAGGTTCGCCTCTCTGGTACAGTCTTAAACTGGTTCAGATCATACCCAAGTGGTATGAATATTCTGCTGCACTTTGACACCTACATCTCAAAGTATCAATCTATTACATGCAGAGTCCCCCAAGGCTCAATTTTAGCACCTATATTATTTAACCTTTACATGCTGCCTGTTATGGCAGGGAATGAGAGAGAGGAAGAGACGATCCACATAGGATGAGGCAAAAAGGAACAGGTGAAATAATTTACGATTAACAGATACTAGAGATTAGGAAACAGGAACATACACTGAGGGCTAATCCACGCTAGGAGGAATCAAAGAACACAAGTAAAGCAGACGATTGATAAAGCACAGGCAGGGTAACCATAAGCAAGGCATAAATTAACCATGCAGACACTAGGGGATAAAATAAAACCAAAATATAACACACAGATGAGGCAGGTCTCAGGCCAGCCTCAAACTCATGACAGGAGGGAAGTGCACGACAGCCAGTGGAAAGTGCACGACAGCCAGTGGGAAGTGCACGACAGCCAGTGGGAAGTGCTGGCCAAACAGGGAGACACATGGGACCGGGCCAGACAGTAAAGAGTAAAGATGTTTGTAAACCCTGTGGTTAAAACAGTGCTATATTGATTTCGGTTTGAATTAATAAAAAAGTAACCAGTTTTAATAAATGTATGCCTTTACTAAAATTTAGAAGCGTACAGAAGCCTCGTTAGTAATGATAAAATATCCAGAATTATTGTAATACTTAAGTACTACAATATCAAGCCCCAGCACTTAATATGACAAAACATATTCGGCAGAAATGGGGCGTGGCCACACATTGCGGCAGCAAATGAAGCGTCATGGCGTTGAACGTTTAGCGTAATACGCAGTGATTGTCCTTACATCATGACGTTGGATCCTGCTCGGCAGCGGAGGAGCTGGATGGAACTTCAGGGATATGGGGTGAGTATAGCAACGGACGATACCACTGATTTTCTTTTCAATCCGAAACCAAATAATGTCAGGGTTGGTATTCCGATGTTGACATTCCGTGCCGACCCAAACATTTTATATTATGTTTGGTATAAAAGCCTAAGCGGAATAAATTTGCCGGGGGAATAAAAGATGAACCGGCCACTGAAAGACTCCCATATCCGCACTCGCCGCACCACTACGTACTGTTTGTCACATTTGGAATTTTGCACATACTTACTGGCTATTCTGTATATATTATGTATAAATTACGTTTCGTCTTGTGTCTTTGCACCGTTCCGCGAGTTTGTGACTCGGGCTCGAAGTGTGGACGCATACATTTACAACAATAAAGACTGGATTGAATTGAAATTTGTCGATGGGAGGAGAGGGGGTTGCTGCTGGGCCACTGAAACCCCCCCTTAGTGGTGTACTACCAAAGGAGTTTCACATACCCAGACTAATACATGCCCCGCTCGTCAGGCAGGCCGTATATGTGTGTTTGGTGAGAGCGATTTAAGCCCAAATCCTGCACTTAAACTTGTTCATAACAGGTTAGGCGTTCAGCGTGTATTAACTACCATGGCATTTTTTTGCTCAGGTCGGATACGTGTTATCACAGCTGTGACTTTCCCCCATTGTTATTTAGCTGTGCTGCCCGTGCTGGCTAGCAATGACAGCGCTCAGCGTATGTTAATAATGAAAACAAAACACATGGATTGTGATCTGACCGTTCTCATTCATGTGGCAATGGCCGCGAATCTAAACGATCTAGGACCACATATGAAAGTGACTGAAATCTGAATTGAAGAGATCAGATTTCTGTTTTCACACAGCCCTGAAAAAAGAACGACCTGTGTCACATTAAAGCTAAGAATCTGATTTGAGTCACTTCAGCCTGGTAATGTGAACGCAGCCACTAGGATGATCACTTCACTTAATAGATAAACAGTGTAGCTGGAGTGGTGTCTGGAAATACTTTGGTGGTGTGCCATATAAAGACAGTAAACCACAGCACATATCATATGTAAGCCTGCGTACAAGTTGTGTCACCGAATAATACTGACAAAGGGGGCAAACGCCACAAATTTAGCTAAGCGTTTTAAGGACGGACACATGACACAATACAAAGAGTTTTGTGAGATGGGGATGGAAACACTGTGTATGGTTTTGGGAACAGTCAGCGATGTGGACTCTTATCCCGTTAGTGTGGTACTCAGAAACTATTTGATGGATCTTTTTTGAAGGTAACACATGCGTTGTATGGGGGAAGATCTGAAACTTTTTTTTTTTGGAGAAAAATCGCACTAAAAATGCACTTAAAGCATTTTCACTGATTGGTGGGACATGAAAGACAGCCAGAGATGCAGATTTTTTGGAGAGGGGGAGAGCATGTAGGGGGGATAGAGCTTGTTTGGGGTAGTGTGTGTGATACAATGATATTATATTGCACATGCGCAATAATCAGCAGGGCTTCAAATGACAGGCGAAACATTAGGCTGGATGCCAGCTTTCCGATGCTATATGGAGGTTTTCACTCGGAAGTTGTTAAGCGGATTAGTAAACAGATCTATGGTAGTTTTATCATACCCAAAACTGGGCGTGTCTTTATGTTTATTAAATTCACTATGCGGAGCACACTACATAATACTGTTGATATACTATGGTTTGGTATACTTCAGGGCAATATGCACTGTAGCAGAGCACACCACGATACTCTTGGTATACTATGGTTTGGTATACTTCAGGGCGATATGCACTGTAGCAGAGCACACCACGATACTGTTGGTATACTATGGTTTGGTATACTTCAGGGCGATATGCACTGTAGCAGAGCACACCACGATACTGTTGGTATACTATGGTTTGGTATACTTCAGGGCGATATGCACTGTAGTGCTCACAGCACAC